AACCCTTACCTAAGCAAGATAATTAGTATATATTTACAACCTTTTGACATCCAGCTTATTGGGAAACTGAGAAAAAATATCTGCATGTATCTTACTAAATATATATTCGTGTGGTATTTCGTATAAATTAATGTGTGCAAATACTCTTTCTGAAATTCATGATTTTAGCTGGATTCCACCAATGAAAATTTAAAATTTTAAGCCCTAATTAGTCGAGCCAAATGTTACATTTTAAATCCATTTACACTTGATTTGAACAAGCACTACAGCAGCACTAAATTGGGATTGCTCAAAGCGAGTACAAGAACAAATGCAACTTTAAATAAGAGATACGCTCAAGAGTTGCTCGGACTCTTAACGTGACATATTAATAAAAGTGGCAGGTACTTATCATAATAACCCTGCAGACTACTTCTGTAAGTTGTCTTCCGATATTACAGTCTGGTAATATACTGTGATATGTGTGTAGTGAGACCCAACAGATTTTTTCGGCTTACAAAAGCATTCTCTGTATTATTTGAACTACCATTCAACCACAATTTGCATGCCACGAATAAAAGGTTTCGTTCTGCCACTACCTTGCATATCAACATGCTCTTGTAAACATAAAACTTGAGCTAACATGGAAGAATTACACCCACAGTAGAGTCTTCAGTCTCTCAATGTCTCCATGGTTTGCTTAGACTAACTGCAATTACTTATGTATATACATTGCTTTCCGAGCCTTCAATTGGTAACGTGTGATGCAGTGCATTGCATTACACAGTATACTTGCCTCTCATATAATAGTTTGGACAATTGCTTTGTCGTGACTACAACATTTATAGGGGGTGTTGTGCCTCCTTTTCTTTTTTCGATGTCCATGTGGTCTTCCAAGCAAAGATCAGTACCTGTTCTGCTTGAGGTATTTATTGCTACATTATTGCATGTTGTGCAAAGATGTCAACAGCAATGTCCTTCAATAGTCAAGTAATATATAGTGGTTATGGCCTCACCTATATTGGAATGAGAATTATCAGGTAGCGCTAGTCACTCTGGCTAAATACAATACTTCTGGGACACAGCTGTCAATGAGTTGCTTCATAGATTCGACCATATGGAAAAAAAAAGAGCGATTTAAATATATTTTGCAATTTCTCTCAGGGTAATAGTAAATTTACAAACAATGATTTATAAGTTTAAAAAGGGTTTTTATTTTTGGGAACATACTACATGTTTCGACAAAACATTGGTCTGTCTTCTTCAGGTCCTAGTCAAACTTTAGGGTCTGGCTAAATATGGTGTTTCTTGCAAACTAAGGAACATTGGATTTAAACAACAGGATCTTGAAAGTAAGCAGTTTGAGAGAACTTAGTAAGGCGACAATATGTCATGCTATCAAGCAAATTAAAATATAATATCCATGTATGAATGTTGTACCAGGATACTGTGCGAGTGTTATATGACATGTTACAGCATTATTATATAAATCTGCCAGTGTTTGTGGATAGCAAACGAGAATTTGGACCGTTTCCTCAAGCTTTTCAAACTAATTGTTGCTTAGAAGGAAGAACTCAGGGACAGGTGGAGCAATTTCTGATACTGAATCAAAACATCTCTGTTGGTGTTAATTAAGTTAAAGCACTTGAAAAGCAACTTAACAGAGACACAGTTATCAATGAATTGCTCCAAGATTCGACCAGTGCGTGTCCTGTTTCAAATCACTCCTATACTTATTAAATGATTATTCTGTTAATAACCTGCTACCAGCTTCTCTGCCACCATAAGTCTGAGAGTTTGTGTGCATTTGAAGGCGGCTTTCATATTTTCCTATAAACCCTGAGATGCGTGTATCCTGAAACGTAATATTCTTGAGCTAAGTTCAAAGTCGGATGACTTGGTGCATAGTAACATATGCTATCCTAATGCTTTAACATACCATATAACACTCACATGGTTTCTTGGACTGAGATGTACATGGACTGTTTGAGCAAATGTATTTCATGCAGTGGGATTATACATATTTCAAGAGGTAATACGGAGTCTTTTACAAGTTAATATGGGTTTGAAGTTTACCTTCCTTGAATATAGAAAATGAGATTAATTGTTGTTGTAGGTAATCTAAGGATATGGGAGAGCACAGTAAGATCTTAGTCTGATTTAACAGATATAAAGGTTCCATAAATATATAGTTTCAGATAAGTGTTTTTAAATTTTAGTGTAGACTTTATAAACAGGATGTGTACTGGTCATAATCTTGTGTTGATTGTCGGGTTCAGACAAACGTTCCACGTAATTGTTATGTAAAACTTATGTTTGGTTCACCCTGTTTCTGTGCTATGCCTTTTTTGGAGCGAGGTAATACTCATTTCAAGGGGTATCACAGAGATTTGCACAAGTTACTATGAGTTGGGGATTATTGAGTATATATGATTTGTAACACTGAGACACAACCATACCTGCATCCAGTGAATGGGTACAGCAAGCTGTTATTAAGTGGGTCTATCCAATTTCTCAAAGGTTATCTTAGTTTTACCTGAATATCCTACTTTCATTATTACTGGACAGCTTCAATATTATTTATTATGATTCTTTTAACTGTTGGAGCAGGTCAAAAGTATGTCTGTACAAGATGAAAACAAGCCAAGAATCCTAGTGAAATTTAAAATTAAAAGAAAATTAAGACGTTAATTTGTTCAATTACACAATGATACCGTACATTCAAGTTAGTCAAAATCCAAGTGTGGTGTCTCGCAATCTTAGATTAGTTTAGTCAATGGTTATTGGGTGTTTTGGTGATTGGATGACACTCAGCTGGATTCGAACCTGGCATAATGTGAATGCACAGATAGGATGGTCTGTCTGAAGTGAAGTTACTACAATACTTCTACAGGCTTGTTCCTCCCTTGTGACAACCTCAAATCCTACCATTTAAGCTGCTACTGGGATAACTCTAGTTGGCAGACATCATCCACCACCAGCACCTCTGTCTCTTTTCAGTGTTCTCTGACATCTTTGACCAGAGTTGCAGTTTGATTACTCTGGTTTGCATAATTCAGGGGGTCCTATACAGAGTTCCCCACCCTGTCTCAGACTTACCAGATGGCAATAATCCTCAGTCATCTGAGTTTCCCTTGCATTGGGGTTGATCTTCAGGTGAAAGGCATGGGCAGATGTTCTGAGTGCACCAGATATTGGTGGCTTCCTGCATTATCAGTTGTAGCAAAATAGAAATTATGAACATTTGCATCACTGTCATAAGTCTTGCATGTAGGAAAGGACCTCTACACCTGACAACTCTTTCAGACAGTCATCTCCTCACAATGTATGACTCTTCTTCTTGGTTGTAAATCCTTTTAGATGTGGAAAATGTCAATTTCGCTAACTATAAAGCCTTTTTAAATTTATATCATGCAAGAGTAGGAGTAAAGGGTAATACACATTTCAACAGATATAGCAAACTCGGCAATATGATATCCTGTGGTTACAGTACCAAACTTATCTCCTTATTATCCACTCTGTGGTATATTCAGGCAAACCTTAGTTAACCTTCAAGCAATAGGATATGTCCACTTAATAACAGGAGATTTGGTCAATATTGCAAAGTAACATCAATCTTTGAAAAACTGGATAGTGATGTTAAACCAAATAATATGACTGGGCACAAAGTGAAATATGAAATGCACAATCATTATTAAAACAATAAACACAAACAAAGTCTGTGTGCTTGCTTTACGGTATGCCATACTGTCATTTTTGTTGAATTTTCTAAAACTGCTTACTCTTCAAGATCCTGTTCTAGATTGTTTAAATCCAATGTTCCTTAGTTTGCAAGAAATATTGTATTTAGTCAGAGTGACCAGTGCTACTTACATTATTGATTATTCTCATTTCAACATAAGAGAAGCCATAATTATTTAATTCTGGATACCATCTGAACTACCACTGAAGGACATCCTTGCTCATTATGCAGTATTGCAGCAAAATTTTACCAAGTAGAACAAGCATTGTTCATTCGAGAATAACAAAGTAACAAAGACAGCTAGGACGAAATAAACTTAACAATTTTCTTGACTACGAGTTATATGAAACGTGTGTAAAAATGGAACAAAGGATAAATTCAGAATAAATAGTATTGTTACGTCTCTGGTCGTTAGTTAATTTTCCGTAAAAATTCTTTCCGAAGAAACTTTAGCGATACAAGTCCTTTCTTAAATAAAACTGGTTTATTCTTTCTGAATACAACTGTGCAATACACTTAATTTCCACAGTCGCGCTATAACAAACGCTATAATTCACAACTAACATCTCACGTGCTCGCTCCAACAATACGTCTCTCTTTGTCCGCAGTTCAATTACATTGTTGCCGTCAGTTCTTGGCGCCTTATGTACAAGAGAATACCGAAATCTAGTAAACGCTCGAGCATTCACGAACCTTCGAGAATATGACGTGTTACTAGCGTCACGTGACCCCTCTCTCGTAACAGTATAATATTACAAGAATATAGAAATGTATGGTATATTCACATATCATAAAAGACTAAAGTAGTCTACGGTGTGAGTTTTGTAAATAACGACTTTCGTTTTATTCCTTTATTTGAGTTTGCGGGTTTTTTTGTTGTTTTTGTTTTGATTTTCATGTTAATTTCATCCTCTGTTTTATTTCCTGAAATCAGCACTAAATAACCTAAATCACTTCCACTTTTAAAGGTATGTGAAGCTATATTGTTTCATTGAGCCAACTAGGTTTATTTTAAATGCTGTTTTCGGTTGAATTCGGTATTTGTTTTATAAACTAATTATTTTTTTTTACTAGGCAATATGTATATGTGTGTGTGTGTACAATAAATAAAAGTTTTTGAATTACAACAAATCATCTAAAGTATCTTTATAGTATGTGCACACAAACATTTTATTTCCAACTAAGAACAATAAAATTCGTCACAAATAATTATTTTAAAATTAAATTATTACATTTTTCATATCAATTGAACAAGAGGTACAGGTGGCAGAAAGAGTTTGTTTGATGGCGACACCGCATGAGAAAAATGAGGACGTGAAGCCAGGTGGTAAGAGGAATTGTAATATTAGTTTTATTTGAATCTGTCATTTAAAGTATAAGATATTCATCGTTAATTATGTGATACATCAAATATAATGTTTGTTGTGCAGTAACTTAAATGCAACTGCTGGAACTTTCCTGAATTTGAAGCCAACACAATGGATCGATTAGATTTTGCAGTTTTTTGGTGGCAAATTTGCACCCATGTCTCACTCTCAGTTGTAATTAGGTTAACGACGTTACTGTTTGTTAGTTGTAGTTTACCGTCTTTGTGAGTGAGACTTTCTAAATAGATTACACTTATTTGACAGTAATGGCATTAATCACTTTTATAAGTTTGATGTTCACAGAAATTGAAAGTTTTTTTGTGGGTTTTTATTGTTCCATTTTCTTTGTTAATTGGATGTGTTTTAATTTCAGATACATTTTATTTAACTTAAGGTTAAAGCCTAATGTTTATATTCCAAAAGTATTAGTTAGTGGAAAATTTTATCATGATAAATAATCCAGTATTTAATACATGTGTAAAATATGTTATGTTTTCTTGTAAAAATTTTAACTTTTAGTTTTTGCTTCTTTAAGCTAGGCACATATTATTCTATAGCTCCATGAAATTTAACCTCCTTTTAGAAGTTAACAGGTTTTCTTGGTGGAAAATTGAGAGTATAAAGTTTTGTTTTTACATAAAATTTGATTTTTGTAAACTTGTTAATCTACACTCCAAACTTAATCCATTTTTAAAACCCTAATAAGCATCTGATGGAAAAGTTTAATGTATCCAATTATCACATTCATTTTTGCCCTATTTTAACAAGCATTTAAGTTTTAGGTGGAGTGTTAAGTCATTGTGGAAGTTTTATCAACTCTAATCTTTTAAAGTAATTCCTTGCACAGGAAACTTCACTGAATAGAAATTATTTTATATTCTTCAGAATACACTGAAATGCTTACAGTTAAATCCTAGAAATAGTAAATATTCATCAGGTATATTCCATAGCTCAAAGTCAAGACTCTCAATCTACATTTATCAGTGTCTGTCATGTACCTGGTATAGATAGGGTCAACACAATCCACCAATGGGATGAATTTGGCATTGCCATGTCTTCTGTGACAATTAACACAAATAGTCCTTCATTTGGTTGTATTTATTAATTGTGCTTACACTATTTAAAATTTTAATTATGGAGCTACTTATCCATGTTAATGCGGAGAATATGGTGGACCCACCAGTACAGTGTCTTGGATAAGTTTAAGCATTGTTTACCCCCCTCTAAAAACATAAGGGAATATTAAATTGTTACTAACTAAACAAGCTTATACAAAGCTTCTTAAATATTGGAAAAATATCTTTATGCTTAATTACTAGTGGGTCTTTAGGGCTCCATTTTTTACATTCTCACTTTATTGTAGATCTCAATTTCTATTTTCCTTGGCATATACAGAAGTGAGTATACATTCTATCAGACTTAGAAAAGTAATTGCTTCAAATGAAACCTAAATGTAAGAAAAAAGAATTTTAATGTATAAAGAGAAAAGTTACTTTAAAAAGATTATTGGGGTGATAAGCAAAACATGCTTTCTGAAGTTGTTATTCATGAGCAAATAGCATTTAACTGGTAGAGGTTTTATGAATAGTATCCATTTAACTGTCAGGAATATACAGTTTATGGCATATTAAACATCTCATTAAGTCAATCAAATTTATATGAGAAATCACAAAAACCATACAAAGTAAATATGCAAAGTGCAAAACATTTATTGAAATCACACAGAGCAATAGATACAGTGAATGACACAAAAGTTATTTAGTTCCCAAATAGAAATTCAAATAGTTCATTATGTACATTCCTTCTAATTAATAGTATTATTTTAGTATCTGTACTTTTAAACACTAACAACAACAAATAAATTATTACAGAAACAAATATTGAGTATTTATTTTCGAGCTGCAAATACAATGGTTAAGACTAGTGTAGGAGTTAAGCGTTCATAGTTTGTTAGGTGTGATGAGTGCAATAGTGGGTTTGATTTAGGAACTCTGGACTGGAATGTACTTTCAAGGAAACTAGTAGTGAAGATGTGCAATTTGTATGTAGAGTTTGTAGGTTGGAGGAGAAGTTGGAGGCTATCCTGATTAAAGTAGAGACAATAGATAATGAGAAGAGTAAAATGTGGGAAATGGCAGAAGAATTTCAAGAGGAACTTAAATTTTTATGTGCAAGGAATAGATCTGCTAACAATGACTTTCAGGAAGTTAGAAATAGTATTATTAAGGTTAAAAGTAGTGAATTTAATTATAATGAGCCTATTGTATTGAGCAACAGATTTCAGCCCTTGGCTTGTGTAGATGAGGGACTATTGTAGGGAAGAAAAACAAAAGGGCCAGAGAAGAATGTGAATGATAAACTTAAGGAGGTTATAGTTATAGGTGATTTCTTGATAAGTCATGTGGATAGGATAGTCTTTTTTGGGTAAATAGGGAGAAAAACTTAGATTATGCTATCCAGGAGCACAGGTGGAAGATATAACTTGCAGAGCAAGAGATATATTGAAGGGGGCTAGCAATGATGCAGTTTTTCTAGTGCATGTAGGGACTAATGATGTAGGGAAAGGTAGGTCAGAGGAGCTAATTAGTAAGTACATGCATTTAAAGAAAAAGGCCATAACTTAATTTTGTCAGGAATACTGCCAAGAATTATTTGTGGAAATTAAATTATTAGTAGGTCACTTGGGCTAAATGCAAGGCTTAGGTTAACCCGATGACTACCGGCTACTAACTTTCTTAGTAGGCAATGCAAGTCTTGCTATATTTCATTCCAACAATAAAACTAGTGGACGAATATTTTCGAAAATTTATAAATACTTTGACAAATGTAGGTAGTTTAAGAAACATAAAGCCTATTACTTTTAATAAATTTAGTTTTTTTTGCATTATGATCTTTAATATCTTGGAAAATTACATTAGGAAATCGTATTTATAAGAAATGATGTGCCTATAAGTTTTAAGAAATTTTGATAAAAGACACTGCAAAGTCATCTAACAAAGATTAGAATTTCATTGGATAGTCAACATGGTTTCACTAAGGGAAAATCTTGCCTTACAAATCTTTGGAAATTTTTTGAAAAGGTTACTGCTGATGTAGATGAGGTTAAGGGTGTATATTTGGTGTCTCTAGATTTCAGAAAGCATTTGACAAGGTGCCACATAAAAGGCTTATAGAAAATTATATCTATACTTGTGGGGGATAAGTTAGCTAATTGGAAAGAAGAGTGGTTGGATGGAAGAAAGCAAAGGGTTTTTATAAATGGAGTTCAGTCAAACTGGATTAATGTCACAAGTGGGGTACCTCAGGGCTCAGTCTTAGGACCTTTGCTCTCTTTGATTTATATCAATTACATAGATGAAGGAATAGGCGATAACTTCCTTAAATTTGTTTATCCCCAGAGCAATACAGGCTTTGGATGGAGCAAAAATGGCCACAGTTTCTTTGTCAAGAAAAACTTTGAGTAAATCCAGTGCCGAGTGGCTTTCATCCAAATCCAGCTTCATCTTTTGTTGTGGCTCACAGAATGAAAAGTTCACATCAGTTTCTCCTTCAATTACTCTCCACGCAACTTCATCTTCACCATTCTCACAATCTCCTCCTGCTCCTATAACTGCCTTTTTCATCTTCTTAGGTCTAAATCCAGACCCTGCTTTTCTTTTTCTCATAATAGCACCCTGGTTTTTTCCTTGCCTTTATCTCTATTTACACGTAAAGGGCCTACCACAGGACTCTCCTCTCTCTCATTTTCACTAGATTTATCCAAGTCAAACTTCTCACTTTCAAAATCATCATCATCAAGATCACTATGAAAAAGTACATTTTCCTGGCTCAGAAGTTCCTCAATTAACTTCCTAGCTTGCTCAGAAGTAAAGCAACTGGGCCTACCAGAAGTAGTGGGCATGGTCATTTTCTTTGTTTCGAAATAGTGGTCAAAATGCTCACATAATTCTCTGAAAACACATTTTTCTTTTTCTTCTATCAAATTAGCACACAGATATAAGATATTTCATTAACGGAAGTAGTTCTAATTTTATATTGAATATAAAAGGCATTCAAAATATGGGATTGATTGTGAAATGGAACAAGACCTACAAGCTGATATATCAGCAGCTCTGAGACAGTTAAGGTCTTTGGCGTTGCTATCTGTAAAGAGGATGCTGCAGCTTTACAAAATGATTTAGATCATTTAGCAAGTTGGGCAGATACATAGAAGATGTATAAGTTTTAGTTATAATAAATGCAAGATAATGAATGTGCATTATCATAATTTAAATTATAAATATAATCTGGATGGGAATAACCTTATCAGTTTCATGGACGAAAGGAATTGTGGTATAATAGTTGATCAGTCTCTTAACCCTTCCTTTATGGGCTGGGTTGATTCCATGAAAGTATCCATGAGACTAATTATGCTATGATTTTTTATAATGTATGCATATCTCTACAAAGTTATGCAGGTATTGGTAAACATTACAAGGCTTTTGTACACAAAATATCAGGTTTTTAAGTTAAGTAATAAGATTTTTTAATTAAAGATATTCTCATAAATTTTTTCTTTCCGTATGTTGACTATCCAACATGCAAAGTAATTTTGATTTTAAAATTAAAAATACTTATATGCATTAGAACATTTTCAAATTTCACATGTGAAATCTTTATAACCTCTAGATAATTATCAAATTTGTTTAAAAAACAAATTATATTTTATTTGTTATTTTCACTACTGTATGTATCTCTGTACGGGTTGGTTCAATTTGATCTATTTCATAACCTAAAAAAAAATTAGGAAATAAATATAAATTATGCATTTTTTTTTGTCCTAGATTGACTAAAATTATAACACGAAAACATAAATGTTTAGTCTAAATAGCTTATATTTCACAACATTATACATTTATTGGCTATTACAAAGTGACCTGCCTTGGCTGTGTTTTAGTGGACTAGTATTTAGTAAAATGGCCAAGTGGTTAGTGTGCTCGACTCGCAATCTGTGGGTCGCGGGTTCGAATCCCCGTCACACCAAACATGCTCGCCCTTTCAGCCGTGGGGGCGTTATAATGTGACGGTCAATCCCACTATTCGTTGGTAAAAGAGTAGCCCAAGAGTTGGCGGTGGGTGGTGATGACTAGCTGCATTCCCTCTAGTCTTATACTGCTAAGTTAGGGATGGCTAGTGTAGATTATCCTTGTGTAGATTTGCACAAAATTCATAACAAACAACTTTGTAAAATAGTCATCTTGCAGTTTTAATACATTATATATTTATATACATTATTACTATTTAAAATATGTTCAGTTATTTTTCTTAAACATAGAACAGTAAAGATTAAAGAAAATAATTACAGAAGTACGTAATTATGTCTTTCCAAAAATAAAAACAGGTGGGTGGGGCCACTGTGTTTGTTCAGTATATATAGTGATATCTCAACAAACATAAAGTATAGGAGGTTCTTATTTGATATTCTAGCTTGTCAATATCAGTAATTTGAGTTCCTAATTTGTAAGAAACTATCAACTTTGTACTTGGACATCACAAACATCTAATTTGAACCATTGCTACATTCAACATACCACGTGACACACAAAAATCAATATTTAGGATTTCTTTTTTAACATTTACCTTTAAATTAAAAAATTAACTGATGGATCATACTAAAATTTAAATTATAATCTACAATTTGATGCCAAACGTATTGATATACATTCATAAAATAGTAGTTCAATAAAATTTTGAATGCGAGTCTACAAATGCAGTGACATGGCCTTTGACCCGTGACCATAGTAATACCTGTAGAGATAGGTTTAAACCATCCAAGCAGTGTGCTGTTGCTAGTGGTAGGGTAAATAGGATTTTAGGTTTTATCTACAGAAATATTGAATACAAGTCTAAAAGGGTTATAATTTCATTGTATAAGTCATTGGTTAGGCCAAATTTGAAGTATTGTGTTCAATCTTGGGCTTCTTACTTTAAGAAGAACATTTAATTGCTGTAAAGGGTTCAGAAGAGGGTACAAGAATGGTGCCTGAGATGGAGGGGTTGACATATGAGGAGAAATTAAGATCTCTGATATTGTTTTCCCTTAAAAGAAGAAGAGTAGGAGGGGATCTGATTGAGGTGTTTAAGATTGTAAAAGGAATTGATTGTGTTGTTGCATCATCCTTTTTCATACTCAACAGTGAGAATAGTAGGACTAGGGGACACGTATAAATTTTGGCAGGGTAGGAGTCATCTTTGGCTAAGACAGTTTTATTTTTATAACAGGGTGATTGGCTTCTGGAATGGGTTGCCTTTCAGAGGTTATGGAGGCAGTAAATTTAAATGAGTTTTAGAGAAAGCTTGAGAAAGCTATATGAATGGTAAAGGCTGGCTTTAAGATTTTTTTAAAATTTATTTATTTAATAGTTTTAGTTTAGAGGATGGGATAGCTGTGATGGGACATCTGGTCCCTTGTTGTCTCTAAACATTATGTTATGTGTAATCTTGTACCATATTTTAGCAAAGTGGGTGTGGCAACTGCTGGACACGGTGTTAAAGGAACTGTTGGATATGATTGAATTAAGAATAATTGATCTTGACTTTGGATTGGAGTCTGTTTGGTCTCATGTTATATCAGATATCCTATCTGTACTTAGAGTTTAGTTTTAGGCTTGGTTTTATTCCTGCAAAATTTCTAGAAGTTTTCATCACCTACACATATGTATTTATATATAAGTGTTAACTGGGTGTGGGCTTAATGTCTGAAGTTTTCTCCATAGTTTAGGAAACAATGAGCCATATTTCCAATGAGTGAGCAAATTTGCTAATCATTTATTGGATAATAGGTGCATGATTTAGTTGGTTTGTCTGTGACAATTAGTCAGTTATTTCAGTGCTGTAAATATTAAGTTTTTGTTGTGGTGAAGAAATAGATACACAAAATAAGCAAGTGGAGTTTCTGTTAGACGTAGTTTATTTGTGAAGTTAATCCTTTTGATGAACTTCAGATTTACTTGTATATTAAACATGGGACTAAGAAATGTTTTTTTATCATTAAGTTGACTACAATTTCCATTATACTTTTTAAGAAATAATCCAAAAGATCCTGCTCAACAATAGAATCCTTACATTACTGTATTCTAAGTTTCTCACCTTGTGTTATTATGATGATCCTCTTGCATGCACTGCATGAGACATCATGATTCCAAGGCCTATCTCTTCCAGTGATATTACATTCCGCATCTATATTTGTAGTGTCTGAATTCTTCATGAGCAGATTACTTTCTAGCTTGACCTAAAGGTTATGGTAATGGCTAAAGTTTGTTTTCTCTGCCAGTCTTTTAACAAGATGGTGAAAGCATTTTAATTTTGATGTATGCAGGTTCTTCATATGCCCCTTTTTTGGTGTTTGAACTAATTATTGTTATATATTACTTTCTGAGTTAATTCACTGTATCGCTGTAACTTTTGAACAAATGTTCAATATATATGTATGTTAAAACTTCAATCTGTAATGAAGCCTGAGATCTGTAAGTCAATGATTACAACTTTTAAGATATGTATCTTCTAAATTCCAAAGAAAGTATTATACTTGTATTTTGTTTAATATTTTGAAATATTTGTTCCAAGGAGTTTTTTTATAGCAAAGCAATACTTGATAAATAATTAATATGATCACAATGTTTAAATATTTTCGCTGAATTTAGATAATTATGTCAAGAAGAGTTGTGTTGTAAAAATGATTCTTATTTTTTTATCTTTTCAGAAATTTGGATTAAAACTTCAAGATGACAGAGAATGAATATTGTTGATACACAAACTTGCACAACACTGAACATTAAATAGTGTTATTGTAGTAGTGGTTGGTTTCAAGAGAATATAATGATTTCATTTTCTTGGAAGCCATATGCTAGATTGAACAAGGTTTTAATTTGCTTTGATGGATGGAGGTCATGATAGTGAAGTTTTTAGGATAAACAGATTTTTAAAATTTCCACATCTTTCTTGGAAAGCTTTTAGCTTCTGGTGAAACATAACACCACTTATGTGCCTATACTCTGTTGCATGACTTATACCATAGGTATTTTGAAATACGGTGTATTATGAATTAAAGATTATTTGAAATTCATGTGAAGGAGTTGAGATACCTAAAACTGCTCTATATCGTATTGGTCTGTAGAATTCTTTCAATTTTAAGAGTATAAGAGAAATGAAACTATGCCAAATTCATAGTAATAATGAAACAAGTTAGGAAAGAAACTGATACTTCAGAATCACCTGTATATACGCATATCTGTACTGGGGAGTATAATTGCTGTTCCGAGAATAAAAACATGTTTTGCCTTTCTTACTGTTATACTCAACAAGATGTTAGTGAACATAGTTCAAACACTTTACTAGCTAAATCTAATCAGCTTACAAGCTCTCACACTATCCAAGCCCAGGAGCCTTACTGTAAGAATTGCAATCCTCATCTGATTGAAAATGAGCCTTTCACATTTGTTTGTTCTTGTTCTTCAATGGGAGTTACAAGCATAGACCTCGGTGAAGCCAAAATCACATCAGCTATGTCAAGTCCAGAATCTTGTGACGACAGTGCTGAATCGCTGGAGAGAACTTTATCAGCTGGACCAAACAGGTTAATATTTGTAACTCATTAAGTTTTCAAACAGTACATGTAAAAATGTTATCACAACTTCCAGTCAGTGTATATGTGTTAGCATCTCTTGGTTTTTCTTATTAAAAATCTAATCTTTTTAAACATGCATCATTTCTCTTCGCTGGTAACATTGTAGCTGTCACAGTATTGTATTGTGTAACATAAATGGCATTTGCTGGTGAAGTGAATGAGTTGCGATTATAATGTTCTTTTTCAATGAATAAAGCATTTAATTCGTGATTCCCTTTTCTTTTTTGTTGCAGTTTGTCACTATATGTGGATGTAAATTCTGAGGATTGTATGGATTTGGATTTGAGACAAGGTGGGTTATAAAGTTCCTAAAGTTAAAACCTCAAAATCATAAATATTAATATTTCTCAGTCAGAAATAGGCAGGTGCATGAATTGCCGAAGAAGCATGGTTGTTACGCCACTTTAGATTGGATGATATAAACTTAGATTGGAAACTTTCACTTCTTTCTTATAACATTTGATTGACACAAGTTATCTTGAAATTAGTTTGATTAGCTGAAATCTAAACTTAAGTAATTATACACTTCTGTGAAGATATATATAAAGATGCACATCCTAATTGTAATGAGAGGTGGATGTGCTTTGTCCATTAAAAGGATTTTCTTATTAGAATGAAGAAAAAAGTTATATTTGTTGACTTTATTTTTGGAAAATATACTTGTCCTTGTTTCAAATTTAAATTTCTCATCATTGTTAGAGATATGGAATGTGTTTTTAATTCAAAATGGACACCATACTTTTATAATTTTATCCATTATTACACAAAGTCAAATATTTGTTTATTTTTATTTTACTCATTACTTATGTAGTGTAGATGGGTAATTAAATGGAATACTTTATGAACATTTCTTGAAAAATGTACGAGTAATTTGACATAATTAAAAGTATTTCCAGTTTATAGTTATAGGTACATGCATGAAAATTACATAACCAATTTCAAGAATTTTGAAGTTTGAAACATGACAGTAAATTACACTTGGTTATTATTTCTAATAAGAAACTTGAAATTCATAAAGTGTGTATTTCTATTTTATTGCTATTTTTCCATTTAATATTACTACTCGAAACTTTTGCAACTTTCAGTTTTTGTATAGTGTTTAATCTCTTTAGCTGAAGTGGAAAATAATACTTAGTATACAATCTGATGAGACCAAATTTGGTGGACTGGGTGGGCTACAGAGGAGTATCATGGTTTCTAGTATTCAAGTTAGAACCAAAAACAAAAGTGTGATCTGATAAAGGGCTCAGTTTCTTAACCTCATAAAACCAAACTTTACTGGTGCTAAGCATGGTCTTACTGTAGTTATTTTCTAGATCTCAACAAACTTATGTTAAGTATACCAGTCATGGTACTGCATGTTTTTGATAGCTGATTGCATTTTGAGCTGTAGTGAAAATACCACTATATCTAACCTTTTTTTTTATCATTTACGATTTTGTTTCAAGGTTAATGATCTAAATTATAAAGTGGACTAGAATAATATATTTCATGAATAGGTCTAAATGACTCAATTTTTTTGTTTTGGTAAAACTTTATCTCTTATTTTCACTACCCTAACACTAACTGTAGTGAAATCATCTGTAGCAAAAGTTGAAAAATATAACAGTAGTATAAGTTGGGAAAATGGATGTCTGTCCATCAGGATTTCACTTAGCTGAGGCAATTTTTTTCATGGTCAGATCTGTGTAGATCTATGCAGGGTAAGATCCTTTGATCACATAAAATGTGCCTGATGATGCAAATATTTAAAATGTTATTTACAATGAAGTTCTGTAAACTACTTTTCCAATATGAATTTGGTAGTCCTTAGTTTTAGGCCATAGCTTGGAATGCCACAACTCTATATATTTTATCATAATAATATAATTTTTGAAAACGAATGTCAGTCTGTTCATTGTGTCTGAATATAAAGAAATGTGCAAAAAACAATTATATATATATATATATATGGGTGTAAGGCCTACTAAAATCAACTATTACAGATGCATGTTAATTTCTGCGTGTATGTGTTGTACGCTTATAACAAAAACTCTTTTTCCACTACAAAATGTTTAAATCATAATTTTCATGTAATCCTGTTTTGTCGAAATGATTTTTTAAAAGCCAATTTTCAGAGTATTGCTTATGTCGTTTTATGCTCATAAAAATGTTAAGTTTTTATATTTTAAAGATCATGCCTGTGCAATATGCATGTTGGAACACGTTTTTATTTTTACTTAAAAAAGGATGATTAATTAAAACCTTTGAAGGTGGGGTGAGTATTTACAGTATCAACATTGCCAGAGATGGTTTTTAGTTTTAAAATTTTAGTGGTCAGATATTCGATTTTGTTTAATTAGATAGGAATGTGATTTGACTGAAATACTAAAACTGTAGATATCTTATTCAATTTGACATGTTCTGCTTGTATGTAATAAAATCAAAAACGTGTTTTTGTTTTCTAGAATGACTGTAGATTGTAACAGAAAATTATAATTATTCATCTTAAACAGCCTAAGGCTTGTAACAATGTAACATCAGCTTTCATTTAATCTTTGAAACATATCTAACTAACATAACACAACAATAAATCTCACAGCTAGAGTTTAGGGTAAACAAACTATCCAGTAACATCATGTGATGGCAACTTTTGTGTGTTGCTCAAGAAGCATTTAATTTTTTTTTCCTTTAGGTTTTTTTTTACCTAACCTAATAAATTTCTAACTTTTACATTACTTTTATTAAAAGATATATAACAATAAAAAAACATTTTATACCATAAACCAAGAAATTTAGTGTTTACTTTATCCTTGGGGCCTTTTGCACTCAGATGCTTGATGTAGTAAGCCAATTTTTTCTCACTATGTCAGCTGTCTAAAAATAATTCATTTAACTTTCAAGTATACATTTTAGAACACACAAAATATATCAGGCACTAGACTAGATTGGAATATTTCAAAACTAGTATAACTTACCTAGCTTTCTAAATAACCTTTAACTAGGTTAAAGACAGAATAATGTCTTTAGTCTAAACACTTCAAGCTCTCCCAGCAAACTACCAGCTTTGACCACTAAAACATAATATTTTCTCATATATCTGGTTTAGAGTGATATTTCCACTGGTTGTAAACATCTCCAATAGCAATGTCAGAGAGAATTATAGACATTTATTTAAAGATGGGATATGGGAAGGGCATGTCAGTGTGATGTGAAAAAAAAAAGTGTTATCTCGATAAAGCACAAAGAGGTTAAATTTTTAGGACTTGGCTTATCAATATCTGTTGTATGTGTTTTTAATTCGTTTAACAATATGAAGAACTTGTTAGGGAAGGGAACATTTATGAATAAGAAGTCACGGTGCCACTGTGTCATGTGACTGAAAGAGGTGCAGGTTGATAATTTATTTAAATATTTCCTTTTGAAAGTAAGAAATTATAGCTTGGATAACATGAAAATTTGAATTATAAGCTATAATGCCAAGTTTATTAACATACATTTATAGTAAAGTAGTTTAATTAAATTTTAAATGTAACTGTAAAAATGGTTGTGACGTGCTTTGACCCATCCATATCCATGGGTTTAATTGATTATTTTATGTGATGCTAATTGATGTAATTGAATTAACCTCCCAGCTCTAATCACACATTAAAAAATTTTATTGAAGAAGGTCACCAAAGGTAAAGAGTTACATTATATAATTTCACAGCTGTATTTTGAATTACATGTGCCACATGTGTGGAATATAAACATGCTTTGTTACATAGAATTCTGTGATGAATGGTTTGTTGCTTACCATGTTTAAACAACACTGTAGACCTGTCTAAAACATTTTGTAATTATATTAGGAATCCTCCATATTTTGACTGTTACAAAGCTGAAAAAGTTGTGAAAAAAATTGTGATAAATGTCTGGAACTTAACACGGGTAATTTGTAATTTTGTAACAGCATTAAAAAGGTCTAGTGCTGGTGGCGGGACTAGAACAGGTTGTACCTTTATTCTCTGTTCCATCCATCTCAAAAAATGTCTATAAGGAATTCATTCCATGAAGCTTAACTGTAATTTATTAGTAATTTTTTTTGGGGGGGGGGGTATTAATTTCATTGTACCACATGGTAAATTATGAATTATTAATCAAGAAAGTGTTATAAAACTTTTTGTAAGTTAAAATTAATTGTTAGTCATTTTCATAAAGGAAATGGAATAATTAGATTTTAATATTTTTAAAGTATCAAGATGTAATGTTTTTTAATTGCATATAAAATTTGATAATTTGAAATTAAAATGACTGTAGAGAAAAACCCACCACAATGTGGTAATGATCAAGTAGCTTTGGCCACAGAGATCTCTCTCCAGTCCATATCATCAGCAGCAATACAGGAAGATCTTAACTCCCTGCATCTCTGTGAAGAAGGAGGAAGACCTTCACACTTGATGGACCATGGAACAGAAGAATTTGTTCAAGCTGACTCTCATCACCATTCTCAGGAAATGGAAGAATGTTTTAATGATTCTTTTTCTACACTCCAGCTACAGGGAATGGGAGAAGGACAAGATAGCTTAGCTTTTGTCTCTCCCCTACGCCCAAGTCTTTTTCCAAATGTCTCCCCCACTATCAACTTTTATACAAGCCAAGATAAAGGTAGTATGGCATTTTGTTTTTAAGTTATTTCAGATAATATGGTAACAGTGTTTGATTTTTTTCTTAATCCTATCTTCCCTTTTCTAGTGTTAGTATGTACAACAGTAAACACTATGTTTTGTAAGTCTGTCTTAGCACAGAATGTGTTTTTTTTTTCATAAACTATAGTGATAAAATTACTAGCTTAAAGTAGTATTATATTTTTTGAGTTAACTGAATGTTTTTTAAACACATTTTTGTATAATATTTGTTTGGTTATCCAAATTTTATATTTTCCCTATATATGTGACACAAGTTAGTTTTTGGTAAAGAGCAGTATAGTTGCTCTTGGTACATTCAGATACATTACTTGTACAGGAACTAATAAAGAATTAGTAATAAATGAAATACACTGTTATGTTCATTTAACCTCAGTTGAAGTCTATCAATTAATACTTTCCTTTATGCTCGGTTCTTGTTCCTTATTTGCCTTTTTGGGAATTTCAAATTGTCATATTTTTTCAAGTGGAAAATGTTAACTTTAATACACATCTTTTAATTGTGTAATGTTGTAATTAATTGCTTATTTGATTTTAAACATCACACAAGTGCCAATCAATCGTACTTACGCATGTTATTTGTAATTAAAACAGCCTGTTTACCTGTATTTGGCAATACTAAAGAAATTATCTTATTTAGCAACATTCTAATTTGGCTATATAGTGGTGCTTATAGTATTTAAATGATCATAGAATAATGATTTATAAATATATTGGAAAGCCATTTTTGATAAGAACTTTTTGGTATTTTCTAGTTCCTAATATGCTTGATGAACTAATATTTTAACCAGATTTTTCATAAAAGAAACTGATATAATTCTATCAAAAAAGTTATAATATGGACCTTATGAAATGTTTTTACATTCATATTTCCCATATTTAGTATGAATAAAAATGTTAATGTTGGGTTTTATTGATGTTCATCTGCAAATTTAATATTAGGATGTCTACTGTTAAGATAATTCAGAAAATTCAGACAATTACATATTATCTATAGAGATAATATGTAAATAATAAATATATTGATTAAACGATAAAAGACATTCATCAAGCTAACACTTTTCTTGTATACACAGGAACATGTTATGAGGCTAATTTGGATCCCATGGCAACATCATGTACTTGGTCTTATAAATCAATATCAAATTGAAAATGATTCTTTAGTGGCAAAACTCAGGAGTTTGTTTGGAACTCTCATTTCATTATTTTAATTTTGATATTAAAGTTCACTGCATAAGTTTGTAGCCTCATCTAATAGAATATTACTAAAAAAAAAAGAATAATCACAGTAAACTTCAGTATTCAAAGTAAAATTGTGTTTCTTGAGAAATCTTAAAACAGTCTTTGGTGGTGTTATCATTACTTGTTAATGATTCTAAGAATTTTTCTAAAAAATCCAGCAAGTTCATGATTATATGTATAAGTGCTAGACATAATCACTTTTTAATGAACATTTTTTGTGATAACCTAATGTAACGTCTGCTGTGTTTTCTGATCTGAGGAAGAAACACTGATTTCATTGTAAAAATCAACAAGCCACAAGATTTTTTGCAAAAAGAAATAGAAGAGTACTTATAGAACATTTACTTCTGAGTTTCCACCTTAAACATAGGTGTAATCCATTTGTTTACCTATAGAAAGATAAATGAGTATTTTTGTTTTCTGATTCTTTACTAGTGTGTGGAATACCAATAAGCAAACTTTTAAGTAAACTCAGGGGTGTTAACAATTTTTTTTGATGGGATAGACCAGACTAGTACAAAATATGTAATCTAAATACACTTCAATGACTTCTAGAGTAATACAAAATTAAGAATAATATGGTTTACTACAGCTTATATGATGCAGGATTAAAGTCTATGGGTAGTTTAATATGTGATACTGGTATTCCAGATGTATTGAAAATAATACGAATTAATAAAAATGTATAAAAATAACAAATCTCTGAGCAGGTTATCCAGTCTATGCATATCATAGATTGATATGCTTAACATATTGAAAGTATGATTTAATTCAGAATGAATAACAATGTAAAATCACTGTTCAGGTTATCCATTCTATGAATATTTTGAAATCAAAGCAACCACACAGTGGTCCAATATTTGGAACACCTCACCCTTTTCTTTTTTACCTAGGGAAAATACTGTGGAGCTCCAAGTGGGTGGTCTGAATCATTTCTTCCAGTCATGGTTGTTTTGTATAAATAGAACTTTCTATTGAAACAAATAACTGTTCTCATCCCAGTTAATACAAGTCAGTAATTGAGCCCATGCATATGTGCTTTGTTTATGAGCCTTTGATATATTAGTCCATTACTGATAAACAGCCTACCAATCTTACAAGAATTTCAGTGACTGTTGATGTGGTTTTAATAATGGGTAATTTTAATTTCAGGCATATAGATTGGGTAATTCTAGAGTCAAACCATAATGGAGAAAGGTTTTTGGAAATTATTTAAGATGGTTTTCTTCACCAATTGGTTAAGAAACCTGCTAGAAACAATGCTATTTTAGTTTTATTGATAACTTGTAATATAGAAATTGTTAAGAGGGTGGAAATTGGGGAACATCTGGGTGCAAGTAATCATTGCTCTATTAGGTTTGATGTTTTGCTGCATATGGAGATAGGAATAATGATACTTTGGCTACAAATTTATAAAAAAGGGAATTTTGAAGGGACACAACGAGAATTATCTGTTGTGAATTGGGTAGTTGAGGTATTTGGGGACACTGATAAAATCTGGAAAATTTTTAAATATTCATGATAAACATATTCCTTATAGAAAGAAAAAGGTGGGTGCAAGTAAAAAACCATGTTGGCTCACAAAGAGTATAAGAGATAAAATTAAAGAAAAGCATCACAAATTTAAGAAGTTTAAATTGACTGGTATGATGGGAGATTTAGAAATATCAAGAAAGTTGGTGAAACAGGAAATTAGAACATCAAAAAGATGTATGAAAAAAGGTTGGCAGAAAATGTAAAACTAACAGTAAGGATTTCTTTAAATACATTAAAAGTAGACAATAAGATGGGGGTAGGATCCTTGAGGGATGATAAAGAAAGGCTTGTATCTGATTATGAGAAGACTGGGTTATTAAATTCTGCATTTTCTCCAGTTTTTACCAATGAAGATTTAAGCAGTATTCCTCATCTTGAACAGTTGATAAATGGAAACAGTGTTAATCAAGATGATTGCATTAATTCTGAGCTTGTTAAGAAAAAATTGGGATGTTTGAAGAACGATAAGGCTCTGGGTCTAGATAATATTTCCACAAGGGTCTTGAAGGAGGTTAAGGATTGGATATGTGAGCCACTTGCTAGTATGTTTTGAAAGTCCTTGAACAGTGGGCAGGTGCTAAAGGATTTGAAGTCAGCTAATGTCACTCCTTTTTTCAAGGGAGGTGATAAATGTCACAGAAATTATAGGACTATTAGTCTTATATCAGTTGTAGGAAACGTTTTGG